GCTTAACAAATTGTTATTTAGAATTAATTCTTGATAACAATAAATAAATAAATAATATGCGGTTTACATCACTAACAATTATTTGACTCTATAATGTATTCTAGAACCATTTAGAACCATAGAAAACGAAGTCTAGATGAAGTACAAAGAAAGAGTATTCTATGCTACGAAGCAATTCATAGCCACAATGCGTACATTTAGTTCAGAGAGCTGTTTCTATGGAAACTATAAAATATTACAACTATAATTTCATATAAAATTACCATTATTTAGTAAATTATAATATACAAATCGAGGTTACAAAGAAAGTTATTCAGCTCTTAACTCTAACAAAACATATATTTAATTTTCAAGTTTTTAAGCATAGCTGTAAAATACAGCAATTAATGTAAAGTTGTGTGAGACCTTTGAAACTCAACTGAATTAGGTTGAGCCGTTGAAGTGTCTGGTCGAGCTTGCCCTGTTGATATTATTGTCTCCATTCGTTGGGTTGTGTCACGCATAACGCCACTAAAATCAGATAAATCTGGAAGATCTAATGCAAGATGTGCAGAAAATCGTTTATATACAGAGTTCTTTATGCTGTCCTTTTTTGTTTTCTTCCGATTTTCTTCATACTTTAGCTGTTGTTTTAAAAATATTGAAGTCTTCAAGATTTCTTGTATATTATAAAAAGTGCTTTCAGATTTTTCTATAGACTTTAATGCTTGCACACCGTATTCCATGTCGAAGCAATGCCCTTGCAAGTTGCTTTGTAGGCTAAGAACTTCGGTTCGTTTCTCTATGATTGCAGGCAGCACCTTGCGAATGTGTTCCTGGATTACAAAACGAATTAATTGTAATTTGTATAATAGAAAACAGAAAAACCAACCTGAATTCGAAAGAATGCTAAGGACGGATCGTTGGCGAATATGTGAACATTTTCTAAAATTTTTTCTGAGGCTAAAAGAAAATAATAGAGAAAAAAATTATGTTCATAAAAGATTATTTTTCTTTTTTAATTCAATTTATCAAAATTTACTTTTTCTTCCTTTAAAGTTTAGATCACTTCCTTGCGCCATACCTCTCGACTTCTATGTTATTGCCTTAAGGAGCACCACCTATATTATAATTATTATTGGCTTTTTTGATTAGTTATTATTCTTATATTAAGTAAATGTATTGATAGGACTTAAGTAGTAAAACTGAGTATTTTTTCACTGTTTTTCTTTTCTGATTTCCTGGTCTGGTTGCAGTTTGTTAGCAGAACTAGCTCGTTTTAATCATAACAAATTCAATTGAACGAATCAATATTGTACACTAGAGATGTCCCATTTACACAGAATCGATACTTGTTTTTGTACTTATTGACCTGCTTCAATGTATCGACTTCTTTTTTAATTTACTACATTCCGAAATTAGTCAATACATAAAACTTTCCTTCAGTCAATTTTAATACACAATGAC